CCTCCTGGCATCGAGCTCGGGCAACCACCCAGCCTGCACTGCACCTCACCCGGCGGCCGTGTGGCCCCTCCAGCCACCTGAGGACCAGGACGGCCCTGCCTGGCTCCTGGTCTCGGGAAGTTCCCTCTATTTCTAGTTTGTTGAGTGTTTTTACTGGGGAAACAGCGTTAGAAATCAATAGAAACTCATTTAAAAAAATAAATAGAAGAGGAGGGTGTTTTTCTCAGCCCATGTGAGGCCAGCGTCACCCTGACAGTCAAACCAGACAAAGACATCACAGGACAGGAGACGAGAGAGCCGCTCTCGTCGGCGAAGTCCCAGCAGCGCGCGGGAAGGGCCGCACACTGTCAACGGGCGGCATTTATCCGGGATGCGAGGCTGGTGTCGCACGTGGAGGTCAGTCAACGTTCACCCTGTACCAATAGAATAAACAGCGGAGTTTCGGGGCCTCCCGATAGAGGCCAGCAAAGCACTCGACAGTCTCACTGTTTCCTCAGTAAACACTCCACAGACGAGAAACAAGAGGGACCCTCCTCCGCTGCCTCCCGAGACCCGGAGCCAGAGGGGCCGCCCTGAAGCCCGTCGGAGCCGGGGAGCGAGGCCGGCACAGTGGCACCGAGAGGCGTCATGTCTCATCCCCGACGTACGGTCCATTCGCAGTGGTGCCTCGGACAGGGAGGCGCTGAGAACGAGCCGACAAAGGCCCATCAGGACGTGAGCGTTGGACACACAACCTGCTGCTGAAAGAGGTGGAAGGCCACTCGCCTCCGTGCGAAGACGTGAGCTCGGGCGGCAGGAGACTTGGAGCCGCACCCCCTCCACACTGACCGCAGCCCAGGGTGATGCCTGTCGAGGTTCCAGCCGCCTTTTAAAAAGATTCACAAGCTGATTCCTTTTAAAAATATATTTTTTAATTGATTTCAGAGAGAGAGGGTGAGGGAGAGAGAAACATCCATGATGAGAGAGAATCGTGGATCGGCTGCCTCCTGCACGCCCCACACTGGGGATCCAGCCCGAAACCCGGCATGTGCCCTTACGGGGACTCGAACCCTGAGCTCTGGGTCATAGGTCGACGCTCAACCACTGAGCCGCGCGGCCGGGCTCACAAGCTGATTCTGCGGTTCGTGTGGAAGTGCAGGGACCCGGCAGAGCCAGGACGGTCTGGAGCAAGAAGAGGACCTCGAGGACGTACACTTCCTGGTTCCAAAGCTGACGGTGCAGCCACAGCGGTCAGATGCGTGGGTGCTGCGGGCACAGGTGCGTGTGGGCCGCGCGTGGCAGGACAGACGCACGGCCCTGGGGCAGCGTGGGACCAACATCCACGGTCAGCTGAGTTCTGACAAGGATGACGAGAGTTGAATGAGGACAGACTCACAGTCCAGTCAACAAGTGGACGGCTGGGCACCCACCGAGAATGAAGTGGGAACCGTCCTACCAGACACACAATTACCTGAAAACGGGTCACGGGCGTCATCGTCGGAGCGAAAACGGTAAAATTCTCCGAAGAAAACCCAAGTCACTTGCGTTTGGCCGTGGTTTCTTAGCGACGACACCAGAAACACAAGCCGCCAGAGAAGCCGCCAGGTCGGACTGAGCACTGGGCCCTGTGAGCTCCGGGACGCCCTCGGGGCGTGGGAACGCGCGTCGTGGTCTGGTCACGGACCTGCGTGTAGAACAGTGTACGGACTCACTGCCGACGGCAAAGAGATAAATGACCCGAGTGGACAGTTAGCTTACGAAGAGGCGCTCGACGTCCTAAGTCATCGGGGAAACGCGACGGAAGCCACAGCGCGGTCCCAGGCACGGCGAGGGGAGTGGACACCGCGTCCTGCTGGCGGGGACGAGCGGCCGCAGCTCCCGGGCAGACGGTGGACGGTGCCTCGGCGCCCCACTCCCAGGCGTAGCTCGAGATGTGGAACGCCCACAGGACCGCTCACAGCCGGGTCCCGGGACAGTCACAGAGCAGACACCTGCTCTCGCCCTGGGCACGTGGTTGGAGCTTTGTCCCAACATCGATCCCCCGCGAGGGTACATGCAAGAATAGCCAATGAATGCGTAAGGAAGTGGGGCAACACATCGCTGTTTCTTTCTCTTTAAAAACAACAAGTAAAAATCTGAAAAGAAAAATGTCCCAAACGTGCGTCCACTGACGAACGGATAAAGGACGCATGTGCGGAGCCAGGCCTGCCCGCGGGCACTGCGTCCCCAGCCCCACCAGCCCGTCCCTCACGGCCCTGCCCCTCACCTCTGAGCGGGAGCTGATGCCTGTGGGCGCCCTGTCTTGTTGGTGGCCGGCTTCTCAGTAAGGCCTCATAGGGCCCAACCCTGCCTTCGTGACGGGCACAGCGACAGGCGAGCCCCCCGGGGTTTCGCGGTAACAGGCTCCACGCTGTGTCCTGGGGAAACCCCGTACCGTCCCTCTGAGACCTGCCACGCGCTCGCGCTCACGCTCACCCTCCCAGTGAGAGGCCCCGAGGGCTGACCTCGCGATGTTCGCGTTCCTCGGGAATACAGCTGAGGGCCACGAAGTGTGATTGATCGGAAAGGAAACGAGCCCCTGGGACTTTAACTGATACACACGTGGCCTGGGTCGGGCTGCGTTTGGAGGCGTGTGTGGCAGTGGGTCCCCCCTGCACTGCCCCCGCCCTGGGAGCTGTGAGGACTGCCCGGCCCTGGGACGGTGCGGGTGGGGCACCGCGGTGAAGAGCTGCCCCTGCAGGTCGCTGTGGGCGAAGTCCTTCCTCGCAGCCACTCGTGCGCCTGCGTGAGCCCGGCCGAGTTGGCTTCGGGATCGTCTGCACGCACCTGCCTGGTCTCCGCGGTGTGGAGCCTGGACCAGGGTTGTCACCGTACAGGCAGCCCCTGAGGGGGCAGGGACCTGGGGGCGCTGGCAGGGTGGCCCGGAGGGTTGGGGGCCCCCTCAGGACTGGAGGGGCCCTGTCCTTCACAGAGCTCCGCCCAGAGGACGCAGGTGAGTCGGGACCTCCCCGTCCCCCGAGCGGCTGTGCCTGCTACAGCTCTGAACAGCCATCGCCCGTAGCGGCCTGGTCGTTAGGAAACGGTCAATTGGATTTACCGTAATATCTATTTTTTCCAGGAAGGGAATCAAACACTTTAACGAAGTTTTGCCTCAAAAAGGATTGTAGCAAAAACGTGTTCCCTGTTTAAGACGCGGCTTTCCATCGCCCAGAGCCCTGGCTTGGGCGCGTGTGGTGTCAGCTGTGTGGGTGGGGGAGGCTGTGCCCGTGGGGCCTGGGCTGCGGGTTTGGGAAGGGAGAACAGAGTCAGCCCCGCTCCCCCCTCCCCGCGCCCTGGGCCCCAGCAGCCTCCTGCCTGGACTCAGACCCTCGCACGACATTCCCTCTTCCAGGGAGGACCTTCTCATGGCCCCAGGCTGCCAGTTTCCTGGGAGCAGCCATACCCCACTTTCCTTCTCTGGACCCTCAGGGGCTCCCCCTTCTGCTGCTCCCTCAGAAGCACTGACCTGTAGGCCTGCGATGTGGGACTTGCAGCCTCTGCTGTGGGAAAGGGGGGCAGGCAGCTTTGCAGCCTACTGACCTGGTGCTTCTCCACAGCCCTCGGTGAGTCCTGTGTGGCCACACTGACCTCTGTCCATGGGAACACTCGCTGGGTCCCCCTGGGTCCCCCTGGGCCTTGCTGGGTCCCCCTGGGTCCCCCTGGGCCTTGCTGGGCCTCGAGGACTGGGCAGAGCAGCGGGGATGCAGGCTTAGAGTCCGCCAGTGGGCCCTGTGTCCTGCTGACCCATGAGGACCTGGGGTGGGGGCGGCTGCACTGCCAGCTGCCAGGGAAGGGCCAGAGTGGAGGCAGGAGCTGTGGGAACCCCGTCCTTCACAGATCCCTGCCCACGGCCAGCCTCAGGGGGTGCTGGGCGTCCCAGGGAGACTAACCAGCTCTCTCTCTGTGTCTCTGTCCCCGTTTGACTCCCAGGGGGGCTTTCTCTGTGGTCCGACGCTGCGTCAAGCTCTGCACCGGCCATGAGTATGCAGCCAAGATCATCAACACCAAGAAGCTGTCGGCCAGAGGTAGGTGGCCGTGTGCAGAGGGCTGGGCGCAGGGGCAGAGAGGGGGTGGCCGTGTGCAGAGGGCTGGGCGCAGGGGCAGAGAGGGGGTGGCCGTGTGCAGAGGGCTGGGCGCAGGGGCACAGAGGGTGTGAGTGGGGTCCTGGCCACTGTAGGACCTGGGCAGGGAGGAGGATGGGGACCCCACCCTCGGAACGGGGATCACACCTTCTCAGGGGTTTGGGGGCCTCCATGGAGCTGGAGGGGCAGAAGCGTGGTGGCCAGGCCTCTGGGGGCCAGGTGATGCCATCTGCCGTGAACTGGGGGCCGGAGGACTGGGGTGCCGGGCGATGCTGAGGCCGTGTGAGCTGGGGATCCTTCCTGGTCTTCGCACACGGACGCCTGCCTGTCCTGGGGAAGGCGCAGTGGCCTGCAGGGTGGAGCGCGGCCCTGGGCGCCTGGCCTCACCTGCCCGCAGCCTCAGAGCTCCTGCTGAGACGCCCTCATGGGGTCGGACGGTCCCAGGTGTGGGCAGAGGTGGAGTGTGGGGGGCGAGGATATCGGTGAGCAGCTGTGACGGGGTCTGTGTGTGGAGTTGCTGCCTGAGCAGGTGCCATGGGAGGACAGATGGAGGCTGAGGGGCTGGGACTGGGGTCAGGGCCGCCGGCCAGGCAGGTGCCTGGGTGCCCAGCCCTGTGGAGTCTGGATGTTGTGTTTTCCTGCTTCACTCTTTATTATGGAAAATTTCGAATGTCCCTGAATAGAGAGAAATGATAGAATGAGGCCCATCTTCAAAACTCACCGGCCCATTTTGTTCCATCTGTAACCCCCCCCCCCCCGGATCTGAGGGCAGAGCCCAGACAGACCATCTGTTCAGCATGTTTTTCTAACAGAAAGGATTCCAGACCCCCCCCCCCACACACACACACACACAGGGACTGTCCTGGCTGAGGGCAGTGGGAGGGAGGAGAGGGTCTCAGTCCCGACTCTCGCCCGGGGCCGAGGGGAGCCGGCAGCCGTCTCGTCACCACAAGCCGGGACTCTGCTCTGTGGCCCTGGCGTGTTCCTTAGCCACCTGGACCTCAGTTTCCCCGGAGGTGACCGAGGGATAGGCTAGTCTCCACTTCAGAGGAGCATCGTGCAGGGTAGAGGGCGTGAGGTGCTGCCGGAGACCCCCTCCCGTGCTCCCAGGTCCCCAGCCGTCCTCTGGGCCTCCCAGGGGCTGACCTCCCAGAGGCTGACCTCCCAGGTGCTGACCTCCCAGGTGCTGACCTCCCAGGGGGCTGACCTCCCAGGGGCTGACCTCCCAGGGGGGCTGGCCTCCCAGGGGCTGACCTCCCAGGGGCTGACCTCCCAGGGGCTGACCTCCCAGGGGCTGACCTCCCAGGGGCTGACCTCCCAGGGGCTGACCTCCCAGGGGCTGACCTCCCAGGGGCTGACCTCCCAGGGGCTGACCTCCCAGGGGCTGACCTCCCAGGGGACTGACCTCCCAGGACTGACCTCCCAGGGGGCTGACCTCCCAGGGGACTGACCTCCCAGGGTGCTGACCTCACAGGGGACTGACCTCCCAGGGGCTGACCTCCCAGGGTGCTGACCTCCCAGGGGCCGACCTCCCAGGTGAGGGACAGGCCACAGTGAGGAGTTCTGGGCTCACCTCTGTGCCTCCTCTCACATCCAGCTCATGCCATCCCCTCCCCAGGACTGGGGGGCACCCCGTGGAGGGCGTGACGGGTGAAACTTCCGCCTCATGACCCATGGCGAGAAGCGACCCCACTCGGGAGACCAGAGGGGCCTCGAATCCCCGAACGGGCGAACAGTGGCTGCGCTGCATCGCAGGGGCACTGG